TTAAAGGGAAATTCTGCAGAACGGGGATTAACTAAACCTGAACGTGTTGTTCACTTGGCACATTTCTGCTCTCGGGTTGTCTCACACAGCATCTGGGGGATGAGGATCTTTTCACCCACAGATGGGCTCGCCGGTTCCTTTGTGAAAATTTCACACCAAAAATGGTACCTCTGTGGCTAAAGACTGGACGCTGGGATGCAGGGTGGAGGAGAGTTAGCCAAGATCTACTCGCTAAAAGTATCATCAGTTGATAGACCCGGATCAGAGTTGACTTGTGGGGAGATACAGAACATGGGGAGAAGGGGTTAAGGTGTTCAGTTCAACCTGGACGCATCTGCAGAGATGTGACTCCAGCCACCATTGGCAAACAATTGAGCATTAACTCTGTGTACTGCAATTAGCACAGCAGTAGATGGTCTTACTGAATTCCGGATAGTGTAGAGATTTGACCGACTGTCTGAGCATTGATCACTGAGCAAAGTAATTCTCTGAGGGTTTGTTCAAGTAACTGTTCATTAATAAGCAAATGCATATAGTTGGTTTAAGGTACGGCTGCATGAAGGCTATATCTTAGAACACGTTTAAGGATAGGTGGTCTCTGCTTTATCAAAGGCAGCTGGTGTCGCCATTAATTAATGCTGTAGGTAGTTTAGGGTGATATAAGGAAGACCCTTGGATTCCACTAGCTTGTCAATCGTGATCGCCACGGCCCTTCTGTAATGGACTTAATTATTTCTAGAAGTCACAATTTGCCATTGTTCAAGACACATTTTAAAATCCATCTCACTCCCAAATGGCTGCGTGCTAATTTGCTAGATTCCAAAACACTTCAACTAATGTGAATGGAAACAACCGCTGCAATGAAACTTCTAATGGGTTGGAAGATCTTTAATACGCTTCCAGCCTAACCAGCAATTCCCACTTCCCTGATATCAGGAAATTTCATAGTTTGGTAAAACTCTGGATGGATTAATTCTCCTTTGGCTCTTACGTAACAATTATTACAAAGTAAGGAAATAATAGGTACATACCTCATTAAGTTCTGAATCTAAATCAATTACATTTAGACACTTGATTTCATCAAGCTTAAAGTTCTGATATTCACCATTTAAAATGTGATTTGGGAGGAACGATCACTTTGGAGAGAAACAGGTAACTGCTTTTCTTCATGTCCCCCGCCCCTTACCCAGTCTCTATGGCCAGCTTTCTTCTGCAACCTTCATATGTCCCCGCCCCTTACCCAGTCTCTATGGCCAGCTTTCCTCTGCAACCTTCATGCCACTCTTGTTTTGTGTGACAAGGATGAGGTGTTTGGCTTTGTCTTGTTTTAGGCAGAGCTTCCCTTCATACAGACTCCCATCAGCAATGAACTCTGGAAGGCAGACTCATTTTTTATCTTTGAACACCAAAGGCTGGTGCTAAGCCCCGAAAAGGGGTTGTTCACCCGTTTTAATCACCAATGGACCTTCCCTGCTGTTCATTTTAAAGCGTTTTTCTATTTTTAAAAAGTCTATAAAGTAAAGGTGGTTTGCAAGAGGCAGGGGGAACATAGGCAAGAACAAAAGCATTTGCTTAGCTTGGAGGAACCCATCTATAAAAGTGCTGCCGGCGCAGTAAAGACCTGGGCCACATACACAAATGCACTATTTGCTGATGTTACAGAAATAAGAAAATCAAGCATTGGTATAATTTTCGAAGAATTTAAAAGAGAACTGAAAACAGGGGTGCATCTTAGGAAGCTGTTCTCCTTAACTAATCTTACTTGCAATGCGTAAACCAATTAATCGGAAGTGTGCCTTGACGACATGAGGACATAATGGCGCTTTATTCAGTAATTAGCCACCCGGCAAGTAGGCAAGTCATAGTTTGGAAAATTAGTACTGAATCTGTGAGCCTGGAATCCACCATGATTAAAGGCTATCGGTCAATAGATCAGTTGATTGTTTCATAGAACCCACTGGAACTAAAGACGGAGAAGTTTCCTATGCTTGGTTTATACACAGCCTTCTCAGAGTCTGTGGGAGACTTTGGACTTTAAAACCCAGAGACAAGCCACTCTCTTTATCCAACAGTCTCCATTATTGCACGCCTCTAATCTCCAGCTCCCTTCTGTTGGTAATAGCAGATGGATCGAAGCCAGAGTACAGCTTGTTTAAGTCCCAAAATACTCTACACATCACTTCTATTTCAGATAACAGGCCGAATAAATTAAAATATGGATAAACTTGTCAACACCCAACAGGATCTGACATTCCAGAGACAGTGTGATCTCTCACCCATTCGCCTGTGATCAGAAAGCCCAGCTCTTCCTTTGCTAGCTAGAGAGGACTTAAAAAGTATAACAGTCATCAACACACTCCTTTAGCCACATCCCAAACACTCTGTATGCACGTCTTTAGGAAACAGCACCACATCCAGGGTGCTGGGAAGTCCACCTGTATACCAAAGTATATTGTGTTTACCTTTATAAATAACAAGTTAGGACCAGCTCAAGATCTCACACACAAGCGAGCCCTCGAGAGGAAAGCAGCTCGGGATATCCTAGAAGTGTTGCTGACATTTACTCTTCTCCTTAAATCTTGGTGAAGTCCCGCAGTTTAAGCTGTGCCCACTGCCCCTAGGCTTTCTTACTGGGCATGCGACAGCCTGCACTATTTTCTTCACCAACCATGATCAGTGGGGACCTAAGAGCACTGATGGAAACAGCAGACCAGAGACCAGCTTCCAGTAAAGCAAGGTTGAATGGAACCTTGTACTCACCTGGATCAGTGTCTAAATGAACTTGGATAATAAAGCCTCCTCCCCTGCACGAGTCCTCCCCTCTTTCTATGAACAGGAACGGTCCTGTGCACTCCGCTGTGTCTGGAATCCTGGAAAACCAGCTACCTTGCTCATATGCTGACTCGAAGAGCTCACTACCGGCTCCTACCTCCTTATCCCAAGAGCTCCTCACTTTGCTGAGGAGCCGGTCCAGACTGAATGAAGAGTAAACTGCTTCTTTACTTTCTTGGATCTAAGGACCCTAGGCAGGAGTTGGTTGGCTGCTCTCATACGGGCCAGGATGTCATCACACCACCTTCCTGACACTGTAGAGCACAGATTTACAGGAGGGCATGAGAGGAGCAGGAGCCAATGGTGCTTTCTGTGAGTCAGAGACTCTCGGTTCAAATTCAGCTGCTTTCTTCAGGCTCTCTCTCTCTCTCTCTCTCTCTCTCTCTCTCTCTCTCTTTCTCTCTCTCTCTCTGTGTGTGTGTGTGGTGTTTTCCTTCCCAGAGGAGGGATCTTTGCTCTGTTCTTAGGTCAGCTTTAGTCTTCTGCAGTTCCCATTTATTTTATTTTGAACAGTCACTTCGATGCACCATCATGCATGGACTGGTTGATCTGCTGTCTCCTGTGTGCCACGTAATTTCATGGGTAATCTGACGCCCGTTTTCAGTACAAGCAGGGAATTTTTTAGGACATGATTGCTTTCCTAAGACCTAAAAGCTCTTGAGGTTGCTAGCTGGGTCAGCCTTCCCATCAGAGGTGAACCCTCTGCACCTTGCTCTGGCCTTGGTGCTGAACCGGGAGCTTGCTTGCTGAACCGCATTCACGGACATGGGAAACTTTGCTGAGTTGGAGGAGAGCCTGGAAGGTTCTAAGTATCCTTTCATGGGTCACCCCTAGGAAACTGAGCCCAAGTGATGCCCTAGGGCCCCCCTCCATAGACACAGAGGGCATTTCTTTGCCTGGAGCCAAGAAAGTTTTGTCCAACGGTTTTCCCTGTCACTGGTGCTGCTATGTCCCCTCCCACCTGGGTCGCCATGGAGACTCAGCTCCTTCCTTCTCCAGGCAAAATGGGCGAAGCTTAGTTAGCTCAGCCCTGGCTGTAGGAAGCCCACTTTCTTCAACATTCCCTTTATCCGTTTTCAGCAAAAGACAAAGGTAGCCAGAGCACAGTGCTTGCAGGAAAGTGGCACCGGACTGGGTACCCGTGTGCTCCCCAGGACCCCGAGACTTTTGATAAAGCAATTGGGGGCATTGTAAAGATGCAATGAATTGCCAACTCCAAGATACTGGAGGGGTTCTCCTCTTTCTGTGTATGGGGGGGGGGTGATAGAGGTGGAGAAAGGAGTCTTTGGAAAATTCTGTGATTTCCTTTTCCTCTCAGCTCACCTGGCTTCTGTGGTCGTTTCTATGAAGATCTGTTCTCCCCTAAGAGTCTCTCTGTGTTGAGCCCTGTAAATACCTGTGGATCCACCCAGGACTTCATTAGGCTTGGGGAATACGAATGCCATTTCAGTTAAAAACTAACCCAAGCTTAACCTCTTGGTGCAAATGAACACTTACCCAGGCGAGAAGCTAAGCCAGCAGAGTCACCCAGTCCCTTAAACGGCATAAACACCTCCTTTGGTCCAAGCTTCTCCTTTCAGTTAGTTTACTTGTGAGGACATCTTCCTAGTTGGTGTCTTCAATCAGTCTGCCACATCTCGGGTTCACTGATGAAAACCATGTGGAGTCCTCCCCTGTCTCAGGACGTATTCCTCCCTTCTGTTCACTTTCCCTCCTTCTCATCCTCTCCTCTTTATGCCAAAACAGAGCCAGGCTACAGCCTTCCACCAAGACAATGGGTTTTTCCTAACTCCCCCTGCCTACATCTGCCAGCCGCGCCTGCCTGCCCATCATCACCAGAGGTGCTAATATGAGGTCCATAGTAACTGACCCATTCTCTGGCGCCCAGGGCAGGCAGACCCCTCCTCCCGCCCCCCCTCCCCAGGCGAGTTTTTAAGCTGCTAATGAAAACCCATGAGACACATTTCCTTTTGGTTATGTAACTAGCTTTTCCTGCCTCTGGTGGACTTCAGCATCATGTCTCCTCGGAGTGGGGAATGCAAAAAGGCACCAGAGGGGCTGGGGACCTGAGAGCCAGGACCCAAAGGCTCGGGGATCCTAGGACGTGGAACATCTGGCTGGGATCCATGCCAGCTCCTAGCCTTCCAGCAACTTAGCGCACTGCTTACCTTGTGGCGGACAGGGTGGGTTCACTCCATCGTGGTCGCCTGTCTTGGAACGGAGCAAGATTTAATAATTCACTCCTCTGTGAATGGCGAGGGAAGAAAACACAAAAGAAGACGTAACAGATGAACTGGAAGCAGATGGTCCAGTTTCACATCAGCCTCGGCAGGCTGTGGGGAGACTCCATTCTTCTGCTCGCGGTTGGTCCAGCTTCTGCTCCAGCTCCAGGCTCTCCGGTTCCCGCGGATCCCTACCCTCGGCCCGCCCAACCTCTCCAGCCAGGTGCTGCCGTCTGGTGACTGGCTCCCTCTGGCTGGAGGGCTGGGCGCTGGGGCCACCGCGGGGCAGAGGAGTGCGCGTGTGGGCAGCGACGGAGGAGGGAGTCTGGCAGCGACGGAGGGAGGGAGCCTAGAATGGCAGGGGGTGGGGGAAGTCCACGTTGAGGAGCAAAGTGAAGGACCTCGTAGGGAGACTTCATGAAAGCCGCAGATTCAGTGAATGCTATCCGGTTCCAGCCCCACGGACTGAACCGCGCTGTCAGCGCACTAAGCTATGCTTCTCTTCTCGAGATAAAAGCGGGCACAGCGCCGCACGCTGGAGAACCAAGGTGACACAGAGACAGGCATCAGCATCGCAGGAGAGGCAGCGGCGGGGGGCCTAGAGATGGAGCCGACCTAGCCGCCCACCCTTCTGGTCCAGCTTTCTTTCTTTCGTTTTTAACCTGCGATGAGCTCTGGGAGGCGCGGGAACAGACAGGCGCCGCTCCTCCAAAGAGAACCTGGAAAAGGCTGGGGAGCCTTTGGGGCGTAGATCCCCAGGGACACCTGTCCCCTCGTGTCACCAATAAGTCCTAAACTCCAGCGTCAGCCACGCCTGCTTGCTGTAGCTTTGCTGTGAGCTTGGCGAAATGTTTAGAGTGGGGTCTCTTCACTGCCTCCCACTAGGGTGACATCCTCCAGGAGTGCACATGTGAGCCCGGAGGGGCACAGCCAGCAAAATTGGTCTGAGAGGAGGTCCTGCACCCGGGGCTTTACTGGCACAGACCCAGATCCAAGAACCAAGCCTGGTACCCTATTCAGTCCATCCTACCCATTGTTCCTGGGACCCAGTGCCAGCTGCTGACACTATCCCTGCTTTATTTTCACCCGAGATAAAGGATGTGCGCTTTCTGAGTATTATCCCAATTTCCTGCAAACTCATACCCTTTGGACAGACACCTACTTTGGATTTAGCCTGCTTTGTATGGCTATTCCAGAGAGCATCCCACAGGAATCTCCGATACGGCCTGTCTTTCTCTTAGGGTCATTGCAAACAGCAGATCATTTCCAAAGCCATCTCACATCTACCTCCCACCGAGAACAGACCGTTGTTCATGCACCTTTAACCTAGGGAGAAGTAGTTGAACTGGAGATTAAAAGCAATCCACACCACTGACTGATAATCCGATAATGGTTCGTTTAATAATGGGCTATTTTGTGCTGCTAAGTAAAAAGGCTTTTCATCTAAAAACACACACACACACACACACACACACACAAGTCAAGAAGGTGACTCTTCTAATGAAGGGACTCATCAAGACCTAATCTTAGCGATGGATGATATTTCATCCTCAGTTCATACTTTAAAAAAAGATTTAAAAGGTGTGTGTGTGTGTGTACCCACAGAGGGTAGAAAACACACTGGATCACCTGGAGCTTGCATGACAGGCAGTTGTGAGTTGGCTAATGTGGAAGCTGGGAATAGAACCTGGGTCCCCTGAGAGAGCAGCCCATGCTCTTGAGCACCAAGCCGTCTCTCCAGCCCCAGTCTGCACTTTTTCAGGACACAGAAATCCAGTCCCTCAGGAACGTTGTCTGCTTCCTGAGGATGGCTTTAGTACAGGAAGGTGTTTCCCTCAGTTTGCATCAGCAGTTGGGTCCGTCTCACTTTCACACTCTAGGGGCTTTGTCTTTGCCGATGTTTCCTCCGGAGGCCTTGGGATCTCCGTTGCTCATGCCTCAGTTTGGTGTTACCACGCACAGCATGTTATGTGTATTCTACACCAGGTCTGCTGGGCCAGGCGATTGTGTCAGAAGTGAAGACAAACCAAGAACCTGGCAGAATGATGCCCAAGGGGTGAGGGTACAACATGTGGTTGTGGTCAGATGGCACCGGCACAGTGAACGATCTTTCCTGCACACAAAATAGCATTTACTCCACAAAGCTGTTATGGACTCAACAGCTCATATGTATTCTACCAGAAGAGTTTTCAAAGTGTCTTTCTTACCAGCAGCTGATGAAGTTAGGAAATGAGCCGTAGGCAATGGCCGCTAAACATCCAGAAACTCCTAGCATGAAGCAGCAGCTAGGGTGGGATGGGCTACTGACGGTCAAGAAGATGCGGAACCATGTTTTGAATGGGGTTCTGTGAGACAAGAGCCAATGGCTGATCTAGATTCATGTATTCCGTGGAGCGTGGACCATGATCTGTTGAGTGTGACTGAGGAGTTGGCACCAGTGCCTGGAATTCGGTGCCTGGGGGCTGCACGAGATGCTACCCCTCTGAGCCTCAGGAACTCAAACTCCGAAGCGCCTCACTCCTGATGTGATCAGATGTCACGTATCTATTTTGCAATGTCGAGTGCAGGCGAGGAAAGGATCTAGGAGGATTCCCTAGGTAGATCTCTGCTCCAAAGCTGACGCTGTCCGTAGCTTTTAGGATTGATTAATTATACGGATGAGCCTGGTTCCTTCATCTATCAATCCCTAATAGAGGCCCATTAGCCAGCAAAATGGACAGAATGAATGATATCCATGGGGCATCATTTGTTCTGGGCTGTCCTTTTCTTCATCATTGACTGGGTCAATTTACATCCCAATCTGTCTTCCTAGTGCATATGTAGACCAGCCTTGCCCTGGCGTGCATGGGTTTTCCGGCTCCTTGGTCAGGGCTTCTTATTGATTTAAATTCCTAGGTTCCCATGGAAACTCGGTTCTTCTGCTCTAAGCCAACTCCCCTACAAGGAAAAAAAAAACCCAACACCCAAGCTTAGGTCCTTAATAGTCAGGGTTGATATATGAGCTCTGAAATCTGATTTTGGCTATTAAAGATGAAACCTTAAAAGAGTTTCAAAATTAGCACAGGGGCTGGAGAGATGGCTCCGTGGTGAAGGGCACTGAAGACTCTTCCAGAGAGCCTGGGCTCAATCCTGGCATCCACATGGGAGATCACAACTGTTTATAACCCTAGCTCCAGGGACCCAACACCCTCTTCGGGCTTGACCAGATATCAGAGATGCAGATGGTGCACAGACGGATGTGCAGGTGAAACAGCAAACACATAAAACAAAAATTTAAAAGGATGCTAAGCAGTTACCCTTTCCTACAAGTCTACTTCCAAAGGACCAAGATTCCACTGTGTGTTTTAGGGAATAGTTAAGTTCCCTTTTCCATCTCTATCTGTGCATCGGAAGGTACGTTCTTAAGACACAATTCCAGGTATGAATGATGAAGATGAAGGTCATCTGCCTACACTAAGTATTTTAGGGACCACTGCTGGAACCTTCACCCTCAATTATCCAGTTATGACTTCTCGTTCCCTTCGGCACACTCAATTTCCTCATTTTGGAACAATATTCATGGTCTTATCTATTACCAAACTGGAATCATTTGTAAGTATTTTGACATACATTTTAAAGTTTAATTCCATGACTTGCTAAAGGAGTATAATCCACAGATGCCTTTGATCACGTCTTTCTATAAAGATGTATTATTAGCTCACTCTTCAGCAGGTATACACCCTTTTTTAATCACATGCTTCCCCAAAGAATTTATTAAATTACAATTAAAAAATTATAATAGCTTCAAATACATTTCAGAGGACCACCGGGAGGTGAGTGTTAGAGGAACAATCATGTGAAGGAATCCTATTAGCCTTCCCACACCTCTTAGGAAAAACCATCCCAATTAACAGGGCATCTGCAGGGAAGGAGAGTTCCAGAACAAACAGGCAAATTGAATCTGGGAGCTGTTCTTTCCATGGTTCATTACTGATAAGATGCCCCAAGTCTCTGTGTGTTTTCTGACGCCACTAACAGCAAGGCTGAGTTGGAGAGAGAATGATATCAAAGCCTTCTGTCTGTGTCATGACTACTGAGTCATCATCCCACACTAAGCAGCCATCCACAGAGGACCTGGTTTGCTCTCACCAGAGGTGCAGCTCTTGCCTGGGATCCCCAAGCTTTCAAGTCTCCCAGGCCCGATTTGCCCCCTGTGGTCAAGTCAGCTTCTAAATCTAATTCAAGTCAGCTAGATAAGATGCTTGAGCAGGAAGTCCCGCCCCCAGATAAGCAAAGGCTTGCCAAGGGATGGACCTGAGCAGGGGTTTCCTGCATTGCAGATGAGACAGACTCAGGCATGAAGCTAGCACGCTGGATCTTTATTAGAGCTAGTCCTAAGAGGTATAATATACATGGAAACAGTTGTGGAGGGGAGGACAAAAGAAGAGGTGCTGGGCCTTTACCTCGGCTGACAACAAACAGAATCCTGAAGCCAAAATGGCCGCCTGAGTTGCCCTGCATCAGGCCCAAATGGCCTCCACCAGTTGATTACTATGTGTGAGCCAATCAGGTAAAGATGGGACTTCTGGCCTGGTGGCCTTTCTGCACCTGACAGCCCAGTACTGATTGAAATGGCCTCCTAGTCCCTAGGTCAACAAGCCCTTCTTTGGGGGGAATTCTGGCATATCAAGTTACTGAAGTGTGTGTGTGTGTGTGTGTGTGTGTGTGTGTGTGTGTATGTGAGAGAGAGAGAGGGGGAGGGAGAGAGAGGGAGGGAGGGAGAGAGAGAGAGAGAGAGAGAGAGAGAGAGAGAGAGAGAGAGAGAGAGAATCAATGGCTCCTAGTGTGGGCTGTGCACTTCCACACACCTGTATGCAGGGAATTAGAACACACCCTAGGACTTGTTTGCTCTTAGACACCCAGGGAAAGCAGACATTTGGGAGCTAGAGTGAGCTGAGCACCTAAGCCTAAGGGTAGTCTCCTCCAGGTAGAGGTAGTCTCATTTCTGTGTGGCCTGTCTGCACTGGA